AAAGAATCAATACACTTGGTGGCTGATATGTGGGACACTTCAAGACCTACGATTGGTGCAAGCAACAGTGTGCAATGACTTGCTGATTCTGCCACCTGTGACCCGTCGGCCCGATTTTTTTTTTTAAGACGAGCTCCATCTATTGGTGGAGAGCAGCACCTGCTGGAAACCGGGTCCAGCGTCCCTGAAATACATCATGGCATTGATTGGTTCATATGAATGAAGGAAAATGCATATGATGGAAATGATGGCGATGAAAAAATAGAATTGTACTATCTTAGCCATTCTGACCTCCTAATCCTAGAACAACTCCTAGCTCTCCCTTACCATGATATTCCAACTCAGGGACAAGACCAACCTAACCAACGACTACCATAGCTGATCTCTTCTCACCACCTAGACTAACCCCACCCCATAGGTTGTGGAGGCAGCCCCCCCGGTTCGCCACTGGTTGGCTTTGCTCCCTCAGCTAACCCCGGATCTCTCTACAAGGCCTCCCACTCCTGCCCAATTGCAGATTACAGGGCTACGCCCCAGCTCCTGCCAGCGTCGTTCTGCCATCGGCGATCCAGGAGCATAGAACAGAGCAGCGCAGCAGTTATCAGTCCAGGTTTGACGATCTCTGAATTCCTATATCCCTAGTGAGGTAGAAGACAGGGTGCCGTCTAAAATTATGAAGCACCAGAAGGCTTGTTTTGAGTTTATGAAAATTCTGAAAAAGCTTTTATTGGATCTAAAGTATGTGAATATATCAGCAACTCCGGCTTCCTAATCCGAGGGCAACTCCTAACCCTCCCTGTACCAGGACTCTACTACTCAAAGACAGTATCAACCAAACAACATCAGCCATAGCTGACCCCTTCTCGCCACCGAGACTATCCCCGACCCCAGAGGGTGTCAAGGCGGCCCCCCCAATTCACCACTGGATTGCCTTCCTCCCTCGACAAACCGCAGATCTCTCTACAAGGCCTCACGCTCCTACCGTAGCAGGTTACAGGGTAACACCCCAGCTCGGCCAGAGTCGTTCTGGCATCGGCAAGTTACGAGCATAGAACAGAGCAACCATGCTGATGTCTGTCCAGGTGTAACCATCCCGAAGATCGAAGATCCTAACAAGGAAGAAAGTCAGATGCTGCTCTAACTCTCAGAACCCCGGAACGCTGAATGTAACATGTAGTCACTTCGTAGAGAAAAAGATTCCCTTATGCCACCACCCCTGTCCCACGCTGCCTCCGCCGAGGAAATTCACCTCAGCCCCAACCTGGAACAGATCCCCTCTCACCCCCCTTTGCCAAGACAGCCAATTCCCGCCTAGAGGTTGCCTTCGCCCTCCCCTTTGTCCCTATCTGCCCCCGCCGGGCTTGGAGGCGACCAACTCTCCCACCCCGGCCCCAGACAAGGACAATCCACAAATCTGCCCCACCCCTGACAGGGCAGCCACCTCCCACCTTGCAGCGCCCCTGTAGAGTAAAGCTCCCCAACACCTCCCCCACCCATTCCCCAAATATCCACTCGTGACCACAGAAACCCTAGCCCAATAATATGATGGATGATGTTCGTGATACGATGAAACTTCCCGGTTGGTGGTAATAACGTTGAAATGATTTTTAGAAAAATGGATGGCCAAAAACAGTTCCCAGCGGATGATACTACTGATGACGAGAATCAACTTCAGTTGGTAAAGATAACGATGAAAGTAAATGATGTTGATGATGATGGTGATGACGATAATAACTGCTGACAAGAATCGACTTCAGATGGTAAAAGTAACGACGAAACAATCTATCATCAGCTTTTTATTTTTTTTGGTTTTTTATTCATTTTGGGACTTCTATTTTTTTTCCTGGTTTGCCCGTTTTGTGTGCTTGCATGTTGTCTGCCCTCCCGGCTCCCCTTTGCCCTCCAACCTATTGTTTTCCTACTGGCCCTGGCATCCTTTTGGGACCTTTTTTTTTCTGGTTTGCCTGTTTGCTTGTTTGGTGTGCTTGTATGTTGTCTGCCCTCCCGCCTACCCCCTGCCCTCCAACCTATTGTTTTCCTCCTGGCCTTGGCGTCCTTTTGCGACTTGTTTGTTTTTCGTTTGCCTGTCTGATTTGTGTGTGAGTGGTTTGTCACTTTATGCTGAAAAGGTAGCATGGATGGATAGCAGTTGAAGCAGCATGTGGTGGGCTATGGCTGGACCTGGTGTACCACTGAAAGAGTGGAGTGACATGGTGGAAACGCTGTGAGATTTATCTCCGAACACACACTGGCACAGTCATGCTTTTTTGTGGATTTGTGTATAGCAAACATGACAACACACACAGGCACGTTGTATTTGTGGAACCAAGTTTTTGTGTTCTATCATCTATGTTGTTCGTTCAGTATGTTGCCTTATGCCCTCAATCCTTTGCAATAACCCATGCAGTATGCCTCGTTGAATGTCTAAGGACCTTGCCAGGCCACCACTCGGTCTCAGGCCAAAAAGGGAAAAAAAAAACCTACATGGATCCAGGGCCTGAGCGGGTGACAGTTGACCAAAGTCAACTGCCCAAGGCCAACAGTCAAAGTCAAAAGTGGACCCAGCCCAGGCCGCCGGTCAGACGCACACACTTGTTTGTATGCAGGTACCCAGACAGTATTAGGACCAAGTGGAAGTCTGCAACTGTACACAATCCAGGCCCTCGGCTGTGAGTCAATCTGCACGACTGTGGGTGGGAGACCTGGGGCCAAACTGCCTCGTCAAACATTACATAAGGCTTGGTCTCCAGGAAGTCAACATTCAGTCTTGCTATGCTGCCTTGACGCTGGCTCGATGCTGGCTGGACGCTGGCTTGACACTAGCTGTGCGCTGGCACTGTGGACGACGACGCGGGACTGTCGCAGCATGCTGGTGCCTTCTCTGCTGAGCGCCAGCCTCTGCTGATGCGGCACGTGCCATCTGTCTTCATTGCTGATGTGGCACATGCCACCTGTCTTCATTGCTGATGTGGCACATGCCACCTGTCTCCATTGCTGATGTAGTGTATGCCACCTGTCTCCATTGCTGATGCCACCTGTCTCCATTGCTGATGTGGCGCATGCCACCTGTCTCCATGGTTGACGTGGCACTGGCCACGCTGTCTGCATGAGTTGATTGGTTGCGACAAGGAGGGAGATCGGGATCTGTGGACGATTGAGGAACGTGGTACTTACCTGAGGTTGACATCGATATTGTGCGCTGCTGATTGTCATCATTGTCTCCATGGGAGGATATGCCTGATCAAACTCGCATAGTCACTACGGGAGAAGGATTCCATTTCTTAGCACATGACGTTCTCCACCTTGGCAAAGGCTCGAAGAGCAGACGCTTCGCGTCTGAATCCCACGGGCTCGTCAGCAGAGTTGCTCCATCCAAGAAATCACAGGAAACACTTCTTTCGCAAACTCGTTTTGTAATACAATCTCACAAAGGTTCCGCTGTACACCTGCCACGTGGCACTTCTATGTGATCAGGACTTGCCAGACTCGTTACTGGATACTGTTTGATGACGTGGAGGTGAGGGAAAGACCGGAGAAGAAGTGGGTAATGTTGGGCTACTCTCCTGGTGGTCATTGATTCTTCCACCCTCTTACTGTCTATTCCCCCTCCACTCTCTTCGTCTACTGGGAACGATACATTGTATCATAGGTCACATTCATGATTATTGGAGACATTGTCCAGATCTGAGTTGTCTTGCATTTCGACGTCTGATGAGTATCTTCGAGTCTGGGTTCATTACACCTTTTATGGACTACAATATATTTGTGCAACTGTGCCGCTGCGGCGGCAGACTGGTGTGTGGACACTTGGCGCTAAACCACACAAAGGTGCCCAACCTGGCATCATCCACAATATTGCCTATCTGTACTTCTTTTGTTTGATGGCTGGTTTGCGATGATTTGTTGATGGAATGAAA